TTCCTGAAGTGTAGAGAGCAGATGGCAACCAGCAATCCCACATTCAGGTGAAGTAAGTCATACCTTAACCACATAGAACAGACTCGTCATTCATCAGTTTATCATCAAATTTGATTGCCAACCAAATATCAGGCAAGATTCTAGAATCTGGGAATAGAGTGCTGACCAGGAGAAATAAAGTCTGCCCTAGTAGAGTTTACCTTCTAGTAGATAGATGGGGATCTATTAGAATTTGATAAAGGAAACAAGTAAATTGCTGCAATTTATGTACTTGATCTCTTCTTGTGGATGTAGTAGCTCCAAATACCAACTGAGAGGAACGGAGTCTTCATCCTACACCCTCTGTACACAGGGGTGGTAGGGACAGGCAACTTAGTCAGTCATTGGCTATCTAAAATAGGGGGAGGGAGGCTATAAAGGCACCAAGTAACTGGTTTACAAGTTTTCAGGAGGGAATTTAGCTTCAGAGTATACAGGGAAAGGTAGACTCCCCACTGAATAGTTTTCATTTTGTCTAGACAGGTCTGGTGAAAGAAGATGGGGATATGATTCTTATGATTCAATAGTGAGTAGTTGTTATGATGACTAATTGTGATCGTCACAACTGTAAAGGTAGAAGTTTTGTAACATAAAAGGAGGAGGAGTTAAACTTACATTCCAGGAACAGAAGGTCCTAGGACCATTAAGGGAGAAGAGCATGAGCGGAATGTGGAACTCTATCCAGAGAAGCAGCGACACCAGAGATGGAGGTAGAGAAGAGGACATGGAGAGAGAGCAGCTGAGGACTCTAGACTCAAAAAAAGAGAAAGGCTGTGTTGTGTGCTGGTGTCCATGAGGCAGGCTTTCAGAATGTGCCATTTGGTTATTTAAATGATTATATATATCTGCGTGTTTTGGTGTACATGCCCTTGCCCCCCCCACGCCCCCAAAAAAAGACCAAAAAAAAAAAAGGGGGGGGGGAATAGAAGCAAATACTGTTGAATGATGATGCACAGAGGAGATCATTGCAACGAAACAATGAGAGTAAAACCAATGTTCTCCCATGTAAACAATTATTCAATTCACAATATAAACTTAAAAAAAAAAAAGATGGAGATGTTTGAAAGATATGACCATACCTTACACTATTATTAAAATTAACACTAGGCTTTCTGTCTCTAAGCTATGGAACGCCCGCCCTCCCCCCTCCTTACACAGCTCTTCCTCCACTTAACAAATGGGTGTTGTTAAGGGTCATGGAGTCACAACAGACTGTATCGACTCTATAGGTTTCCAAGGAATGGCTGGGTGGGTTAAGTCACAGGCCTTGTGGTTAGAAATCCAGTGCTTATCCTACAGTGCCATACCAGGACTCTTTGACAAATGTGTGGAATCACAAAATCCAAGACTTCAAATGGATAAGTAGTCTTGTCTGTAGATTTTGAAGGTATTTAATTTATTTATGCTGTGTAATCAGAGTCCTGGTGTGGCTCTGTGGGTTAATGCACTGGACTGCAAAATTGATTTGAACCACAAGGTTCAAGCTCTCCTCGGAAACTCTACACGAGGTCACTATGGGTCAGAACTGGCTCAGTGGCACTTAACAACAACTCTTCCCTTAAGAGTCCTGTGATGTACGGTAGGAAAAGCACTGGACTGCTAACTAAAGGTCGGCAGTTCAATCCCACTTGATGCTCCTTGAAAACCCTATACAGGGTGGCAATGAGTCAGTAATCAATTCACCTGCACTTAACAAACAACAATCTTTCCTTAATGTTTTTATGATATGTCTGTAGTTACAAAAGCAAAATTACCTTCTTCCATTTTCTTACTCACTTCTTTTTAGACTGTATTTGTATTAATCCAGATCTTTCTTCTGCCATCATGTTGTTCTTTTCTTTCTTCTTTTTTTGAAAGGATGGTTATTACTTAAGAAAGCACTGCAAAAATCTGGTCATATGTTGTTATTGCTTTTGTGCTGCCAAATCAGTTCTAACTCGTAGTGACCCTTAAGTGTCATTGAGCTAGTTCGGACTTTAAATCTTTGCAGGAGCAGAAAGACTCATCTTTCTCCCATGCAGCACTGGGGAGCTCAAACTGCCAAACTTGTGGTTCACAGTCCAGTGCTTATTTAAAAAGTCATTTAAAAAGTATTAAATTGAGACATTTTAGTTTTATTCCTCCATGCTAACGCTTCTAATTCTATAAAAATTGAAGACCTAGAGACCACATGTTTTGAAAGCCCTAGGAAGTATAGCCTAACATTAGAAAATCTCAGCCCTGCTCTCCCCTGGGAGTTCAGAGTGAGGAAATGCATCTTGGAAGCATTTCAGGCTGTAGTCTTCACATGATGCAATCCAACTGTTTACAAAACTGGAACTAATCTCAATCAAGTTGCCACCACCTGAAAATACCTTGATTTGCTAGAACTATTCCAGACTGATTCCATAAATTTGTTGCTGGCTGCAATGGAGTGAGGGGATTTCAACTCAACGGTGACCCATAAGCAGATCTGCAGGCCTTTCTCTGGAGGAGCTGATAGGTGAGTTCCAAATGACAACATGTCCATTAGCAGCTTAGCAACAGTTGTATCACCAAACCCAAACCCATTGCTATAGAGTAGATTCTGAGCCATAGCAACCCTATAGGACCCATAGGGTTTCCAACACTGTCCTTTTTCCTGTTATGGTGTTGGAGGAGAATATTGAAAGTGCCATGGGTTGCCAAAAGAACCAATAGATCTGTGTTGGAAGAGGTGTAGCCAGAGTGCTCCTTGGAGGCCAGGATGGCCAAACTTTGTCTCTCATACTTCAGACATATTGTCAGGAGGAACCAGTCATGTCTGGTAAGGTGGAGGGTCAGAGATAAAGAGGAAGACCCCCAGGGAGATGGATTGGCCAAGTAAGTGGCAGCATCAATGGGCTCAAGCGTGGCAACAATAGTGAGGATGGCCCAGGATCTGGCAGTGTTTCGTTCTGCTGTGCATAAGGTTGCTATGAGTCAGTACCAACTCAATGGCACCTAACAACAACAACAATTTTTACTGAGGAGAGCCGTGACTCTGTAGGATAAGTTCTAGACTGGGAACCACAGGCCTTCTTCTCCTGCAAAGATTTACAGGCTCAGAAACCTTCACTATCAGTTGGAAATGATCAACCACAGTTTTTATGAGACCTTAGCAGTCTGTGCTTAACTCCTGAGCCATCTAGGCTTCTTATTGTTCTACCCACCAACCCACCCAGTGCAACTGGAGTGGGTCAGATTTATAGTCACCCAGTATAGGGTTTCTGAGCCTGTAAATCTTTACAGGAACAGAGAGCCTACTGTTTTTCCCCAGGAGAACTGGTGGGTTTGAACCACCGACCTTGCGGTTAGCAGACCAGTGTTTATGCTACAGCAGTACCAGGGCCTCATAAGTAAATCCCATGGATAGTAGGAACCAGCTGTCACTCAACTCAAGATTGTGGAGTTGTGCCTGTGTGCGTGTTAGTTGTTGTCATTCTTTAAAAATAATATTGCAGGTTTTGTTCCCTGCCTCCAATTGCCTTCTCAGTGTGGTCTGCTTTTCAGTCTCCCTATTCCTTCTACTTTGGTTAGCATCTCTTGTCAGAGCGGTAATTTATTTCCTTAAATCCAGATATAATGGTCAAATGCGTCATTTGGCTAAGTCAAATGCCATCGTTAAAAGTGATCTCAGAATTAAAGAAAAATGAATTTATAATTCAAAAGCTCATCAGCCTCATTCCCTCCGCCTTCGTTTTTTGCGTGACCGTGTTTACTAGGGCTCGAATCTTTCCATGCCTCTGAACCAAAGCGCGTCTGAGTCGGGAGCAAGCTCAGCTCTCCCCAAGGGACTTCCAAAGGAACTCCCAAAGGGATTCCCGAAGGACAAAAAGTCTCCGTGCAGACATCCCATCCAGGATCTGCCCCAGTCTCCCGCAAGCCAGGAGCACATTCAAGAAAATGGTTTTGCTCTGGGATTTTGTACGTTTGTTTGTTCTTTAAACTTAATACTTGTATCTTGGCAAACCAGCCTGAAGGTCGGCTTCAATCCTTCGTTCCTGCCCTCTTCCTCGAATTGGGTACAGCCCCAGGTGCCGCCTCCTGAGTTAGTAAAGAGAACTTTGCCAGAGAGGTGCAGGCTTTCCACTAGCGTCTTCACTGTTAGATTCTCCCAAACAGAATCCCTGTCGCTCAAGAGGAAACGTCCCCGAATTCCATTCCCGTTCACTACCTCCCCCCAAATGTGGGAGGAAACCAAAGGCTGCTTCTGCCTTTATCTTGTAAACCTTTAAAACAAACAACACTTAGGGCTAATAAAGCTCCCCTGGCCCTCGTCCGAAAGCAAAGCTATAACAGGATGGGGGTAACTCAGTGGTCTGGGCGGGAAAAGAGATGTGACCAGTACAGCCGCGATTAAGTGAGACCCCACGGATTCGACTATTCTCATATAGAAGGACTAGGTATCCTCCCTTGTAGTTTCCCCAATCCCGTTCAAGTCTAGACAAACGGACCAACTAGCGGGGGTGGGTAAATTCTCACCCCGGGAGAGGTGAGCCGGACTTCTCCCAGCTCGAACTCCGGCCTTGGGTGTGCAACCCAGTTCCCGCCGCACCGCAGCCCTCCGGGTCTCCGGGAGGAGGGAATGGTGGAGGGCGGACACTTGAGACTGGGACGCGGTATGGGGGTGGGGGCGCCGGCCGCTGCTTGGATTGGCTGTGCCACCGCCCCCTCTCCGCGCCGCGCGCCCCCCGCCGCTCACCCAGTTCAGTGCAGACTTGCAGCCTGGGCGCTGATTCCAGCTGGAGGGCGGGAGCGTAGGGGCGGGATAGGCCTCCCCGCCCCGCACCCGACCCCGGGGCCAACCTCAGGGAGCGAGCGCAAGGGAATAAAGTGCCCCGGCGGCGGCGAGCGGGAACCCCTGGGTCCTGCAGCTTCCCGAGCGCTGAGAGGAGGGACCAGTCCCGACCCGCTCTCCGCGCCTCTGGAGCTCTGCTCGGGGAGTGGGGTTCCCTAAACGCGGCACTCGTAGAGCAGAGCGCCGGGGTGGTACCTTCAGCCGTGCACTGGAAAGAACCGGGGAAAACCAACCGGAGCCGGCGGAGAGGTTTCTTGAGCTCGGGGCTGCTGCTGCCACCGCGGCTGCCTGAAACTCCCTAAAGTTGAGAGCCAGCGAGAGGCTGCCGCCAGCCGGGTGCTAGAGGGAAAGGAAGTCGGAGGATATAAGAGTGACAAACGACAGATAGACACACAGATCTTTGGAAACACCATCGTTGGCGGCCTGTCCTTGAAGCCCGTGTAGCTTCCCAGCTCCGTGAGTTGTTTTCTGGGCGGGTGGCTTACTGAGTATTTCCGTTTAATTGTTTATATAGGATGCGTTTGTGTATTTTTGTTTATATAGGATGCGTTTGTGTATTTTTGTTGGAGGGTTTAAAAGCAACACTGAATGCAACTTAAAAAAAAAAAAAGAAAGAAGTTAAGCTTCCGGATGTGAAGCAGTTGTATTGATAGAATGTGACTGTAAATATCTGTAAACAGAAGTAATCCTAATCCAAGAGAAATTGCATTGAACATTTGAAAAAAAAAAAAAAAAAAAAAAAAGCTCCCCAATGTGAAATGAAACCCCCATTACACAAGTTATTGGCAAGGAAGCTAAGCAAAGTATGACTCTTAAGGATTAACTAGTCGTAGTTAACTTCTGCTTTTTTCTCCCTCCTAAATATTGATTGTTCACTAGGCTCATTGGTGGAAGGCTGAACTGGTGGGGAAAACGCCCGGAAGAAACTTAGAGGTGACCATAATGTCTTTACGTTTACACACACTGCCCACCCAGCTTGGAGTTGTCAGACCGAGCTGCAGGGAACTGCTGTGTTTGTTGGTGATCACCGCGTCTATGAGCGGGGGTGCCTCTGGGATCTGCCCCACCGCTTGCATCTGTGCTACTGACCTTGTGAGCTGCACCAACAAAAACCTGTCCAAGGTACCTGGAAATCTCTTCAGACTGATAAAGAGACTGGATCTGAGTTATAACAGAATTGGGCTTCTGGATTCTGAGTGGATTCCAGTCTCGTTTGTAAAACTGAACACCCTGATTATTCGTCATAACAACATCACCAGCATTTCCACAGGCAGTTTTTCCACTACTCCAAATCTGAAGTTTCTTGACTTATCATCCAATAAGCTGAAGACCTTGAAAAGTGCAGTGTTTCAAGAGTTGAAGGTTCTAGAAGTGCTCCTGCTTTACAATAACCACATTTCTTATCTGGATCCTTCTGCATTTGGAGGGCTCTCCCAATTACAAAAGCTCTACTTAAGTGGAAACTTTCTCACACAGTTTCCCATGGATTTGTATGTTGGGAGATTCAAACTGGCAGAACTGATGTTTTTAGATGTTTCTTTTAACCGGATCCCTTCCATTCCAATGCACCGGATGAATTTAGTGCCAGGGAAACAGCTGAGAGGTATCTACCTTCACGGAAACCCATTTATCTGTGACTGTCCCCTCTACTCATTGCTGATCTTTTGGTATCGTAGGCACTTTAGCTCAGTGATGGATTTTAGAAATGATTATACCTGCCGTCTGTGGTCTGACTCTAGGCACTCCTATCAGGTGCTTCTGCTGCAAGACAGCTTTATGAATTGCTCTGACAGCATCATCAATGGTTCATTTCGTGCTCTTGGCTTTATTCATGAGGCTCAGGTTGGGGAAAGGTTGATCGTCCACTGTGACAGCAAGACGGGAGGTGCAAATACCGATTTTGTTTGGATCAGTCCAGATAACCGACTGCTGGAGCCAGATGAAGAGATGGAAAACTTTCATGTGTTTCACAATGGAAGTCTGATTATAGAAAGCCCTCGTTTTGAGGATGCTGGAGTGTATTCTTGCATTGCAATGAATAGGCAACGACTGTTAAATGAAACTGTGGATATCACCATCAACGTGAGCAATTTCACAGTCAACAGATCCCATGCACATGAGGCATTTAACACAGCTTTTACCACTCTAGCTGCCTGTGTGGCCAGTATTGTTTTGGTACTTTTGTACCTCTATCTGACACCCTGCCCCTGCAAGTGTAAAACCAAGAGACAGAAAAATATGCTAAACCAAAGCAATGTTCATTCATCTATTCTCAGTCCTGGCCCCACTACTGATGCCCCAGCTGATGAACGGAAGGCAGGTGGCGGGAAACGAGTGGTATTTTTGGAACCCCTGAAAGATACTGCAACAGGGCAGAATGGGAAAGTGCGGCTCTTTCCCAGTGAGACGGTGATAGCTGAGGGAATCTTAAAGTCCACAAGAGTGAAATCGGAATCAGATTCAGTCAATTCCGTGTTTTCAGACACACCCTTTGTAGCGCCTACTTAATTTTGTCCCTGTGTTTGTGTGCTGTGGTCATTTACTCTCTCCATATTTAATTTTGTGTGTAATCTGGAAAATAAGCAGTAGGACAGAAATTGTATTTGTTTGTTTTAAAATACAATCAAATGGTCTCCTGAAGACGAGCCTTGGTGATGCATTGGATAAAGCGCTTGGCTGCTAACCAATAGATTGGTGGTTTAAACCCACTAGCTGCTCCATGAGTGAAAGATGTGGCAGCCTGCTTCCATAAGGATTTACAGCCTTGGAAACCCTATTGGGAAAGTTCTAATCTGTCCTTACAGAGTCACTATGGGTCAGAATTGAGTCCATGACAATGTGCTTGGTTCCGTTTCTGGTCTCTTTAAGTGCTTGTTAGGAAATGTAGTAAGGTATTGTCATTCTTCAAGTGTGCCAAGGAAAGGTCTGTTTTCCACAGCTTAAGTTCTAGATAGTCTTTTTGTTATTGTTGTTAAGCACTGTTGAGTCAGTTCTGACTCATAGTGACCCTGTATAGGGTTTCTGAACAGCAGCTGGTGGGTTTGAACTGCCAACCTTGTGGTTCATAGTCCAGTGCACCACTGATATTCTCAAAGCTGGCCCAAAGATAATATGCCTACCATGGTGTTCTATTCAGGGTTCTTAAAAGGAATGAATGAATGACTACATAAATTTATTAATGTTCTGTAATTTATTAATGTTCTGAGAAAATAGACTTTGCTAACTGAGCAGAACCATCATTGGGCTATTTTAAAGAAAAGCATTAGTGTTCTATCTTGCCTTTAAGGGGTGTAGTAGAAAGAATAATGCAGTAATTATTTAGAAAGCACAAAGCAAAGTTAGTCTTAAGAATTATTCAGCTAATTTTATCATTTCAGACCAGGTTGGATAGGCTACACTGATAATGTTTACTGGGCAGTGTTACATACGTCATGGTACTAGGTAGATAATGCAATAAAGATACATTTGTTTGACTGTCTTCTGTACTTTTCCAATCTTTGTATAAAAGATCTCATTGGAAGTTTAAAGTCATTACTTGTTACCGTACTATGTAGATGTCAATGCCAAAATGTCTGAGTAACTTCTTAAACCTTCTTTCTAGCTTCTGAGTGGATTCTAGAAAAGTATTATTTGTTCATCTGCGTGTGTTTATGTAAATCTTAAAATTATATGAACTATTAAATGGACTCCTGTATTGTGCTTTGAACATTTTGAGTTAATGTAAGCATATGTATTCTGTGACTTGATGTTTTGTTTTATTTGGTTAGTTAAAAAGATAAATCTGAGATCTTAATGTCATCAATTTGTGCTAATTTGTGTACAGTACCATCTATAGCAATTTCGCCAAAGCACTTAGAATTAAAGTATAAGGCTTAATTTTGAAAGGGAGGAGAAGGCTCCAGAATGTTCTACATCTGCTTATATCTGTTATGTCACATTTTATTCTTGATATCATTATTCACTTCAACCATGCTTGGAAGATATACACTATGGTTTTGCATTTTGTGAGATATCCTATTGTTGTTGTTGTTAAGTGTCATCGAGTCAGTTCTGGCGCATAGCGACCCTGTATAGGGCTTCCAAGGAGCAGCTGGTTAGCTTGAACCACCAACCTTGCAGTTCAAACGACTTTGCTATCTGACACATTAGCCCACAGCGCCATACCCAGACTCCCTAGGAGCCCTATTATCTCTAGTTCTCCCATGAAGTAATTGTTTCCACCCTAGACCTAAGCCTTGCTCTGACGCAAAATGAGATCAAATGACTATTTAAGGTTCCTTCTCACTGTGGAATTGATGATTTTCTGGTGATATCTTTATCACAGACTTACACTGGTCTTCTAAAACTGTACCTCTTTTGGATGCAGTGCAGGAATGGGATTCGAACAGACTAGGATTGCATTGTATAGCTGCAGAGAATCTTTTGAATTATCAAGCTTCTCTTTGTCAGCCCCGAGGTTTGAGCTGCCCAATATCATACTACAAATTAGTGATACAGATAAAGGAGAGCTCAATTTCAGCATTCTACCTGGTGAGAGTCAAAGCATGTTTACCCGGTCGAGGAGTGGTGATGAAGAATGAACCAAAGAATGAGGCAGAATCGTGAATCGTGATCATATCTATCTGAGTCAGATCTTACAAAGGAGAAGCAGAGGTGAATTGTCACTGTGGCTAACAGAGAAGAAGACTTTCAACAAATGGGAGTGGGCAGCCGTGACAAGGACTGCGGAGTAGATGAGGATGAAGTAGATGAGGGTGTTGGCAATGGTCGGTTTGGAAGATGGAGTCAGCAGTAAGTACCGTGAGAGTTCACTGAGTACCAAGCCCTGCTTTCAGCAAGCAGTTAAGGAGTGAGTGGTGAGGAAATTTCCCCATAGGGAAGAGGATGCACAACCCCTACAGAAACATTGAAAATTCCCTATTGCGTGCTGTTAAAAATTGCCACCCTGTCTCTCACAGATCTCACCCTTTAGATGTTGTTGTTGTTGTTGCGAAGTGCCGTCAAGTAGGTTCCGACCCATAGCGACCCTGTATAGGGCTTCTGAGGAGCAGCTTAAATCTGAAGCTGTTACAAGCAAGCATGCTATTCCATTTGCTACTATTCAAATCATTTGGGAGAATTTTGTAGGCTTGTTGAGCTTTGAAATCATGTCATCCCCTTACCTCATTTCTGGAGAAACTCAGACTCAAAGATGCTGTTATTTGCTAGATAGGGTGAACACAAGGAAAAATTGAACCACTAAAGTTTTCGATATTGGGGAGGGCAGCCTGGAGGGAAGTTGCAGAGACAATTTTGAACCTTTTTTTTTTTTTTCTGGATTAGATCTCTTATGACCTTTCCAGCCTTCAAATCCTTGACTCTAGAAAATGTTTGTTATAAAATATGGACAGAGCTAGGAATATAGAGTCCTGGTGTGGTGCTGTAGGATAAACTCTGGACCTCAAGTTTGGTTTGAACCTCAAGGTCAGCAGTTCAAGTTCATCAGCTGCTCCTCGGAAACCCTAGACAGGGTCGAAACAGACTCGACAGCACTTAACAACAACAACAGGCATGAATAGTTTCTAGAATCTAATCCTGGCTGATCTAACATTCATATTTTAAAGAACTGGATGAGCTGAGATCAAAGCTAAGATACAATTCAAACAAAGGAAAATGAAAACAATCCTGATTGAAAAGCAAATCTGTGTTTTGAGCCAAAGTAAAAAGGCCTGGTTAGAAAACAGTGTGGGAACTGAATGTTACATGGAATTTTAAGTTCTTAAATATCTCATTTTGTTGGTAGAAGGCTGACAATGTGTAGTTTTAAATGTAAGAACAAAAATAATTTGCACTTTGAAAATTTGTCCCACTCAAAACTTTTATATAATCTTCCTCACAAGTAACAGTCTGGGTTTCTGCAAATAGGTTGGGTAATTCTTTAAACTCCTTAGTATTTTTTATCCATAGTAGTAAAAGAAGTAGAAACTGAGCAGAGATCATAGGGATTAAAAAATAATAATAATTTCCTTAGATTAGAATACTGTTTCCCTGTAATGAAGATGTCTGCTCCACTATTTGCTATAAGTATATGATAATCTAGTTAATCAAGAGTTGAATTTCTGAAGATTTATAATGTAAAGAGATGAACATTTACTTAATTTGGTTAGTCAACTTCTGCATTAATCCTCATGGATTAGAGAGTTTTAAATCTATCCAGTTTTAGCTTTAAATGCTTGAATTACTTGCATAGAAAAAAAATTTTGGTTTTCCTAAATAAGCAGTTTTTCTGAAATGTGACTCAGAAGGGATGTAGGTAAAACTTTTGGAGGTGGAAGCATAGAGGCACAGGGCAACACACTGTTAGTATCAATTCTAGAAAGATAACAGATAGGCCTGCAACAGGTCAGTGTTTCCTTTCCCTAAACCTGATTATTGCTACCCTCTAATGGAGTCCTAGTGTGGCGCTGTGGGTTAATGCGCCAGACTACAAAGCCGTTTGAACTGCAAGGTTGGTGGTTCAAGCTCACCAGCTGCTCCTTGGAAACCCTACATAGGGTCCCTATGGGTCGGAACTGATTCTACGGCAGTTAAGAACAACAGTACGGTAGGCTAAGCACTGGACTGCTAACTGCAAGCTTGGCAGTTGAAATCCACCAGCTTCTCCTTGTAAATTCTATTTAGGGTCACTTTACGTTGGGACTGACTCTATGGCACTCACAATAACAATGAGTCATCAAGAGCGTGGTGGCTCTGCAAGATAAGCACTGGACTGGGAACCACAGGGTTGGCTGTTTGAGTCCACCAGCTGCTCCACCTGAGAAAGATGAGGTTTTCTGCTCCCGCAAAGATTTATAGCCTCAGAAATCCATACAGTCTCACTCTGGGTCAGAACCAATGGCAACTAACAACAGCAGTAACGGTGACATCTGGTCCGAAACCAGGCTTGTCAACAGAATCACAGGAGAAAGGCAAACAAAGAAGGGTTTCCAGCACCTAGTCTTCCCACCCCCACTCCAACCAAAGATTCTGATGTAAGAGCTTTGGTTTACGGCCTGCCGATTCGTATTTTTATAACAATTCACCGGATAATTCTGGTTTTGCCTATTTTGATAAAAGACAACCTGAAATGGGACCATAGCAAGTTTCATGTTACAATGTGTAATTATTACTTGTGGAGGGATTTACTGACAAAAAGCAGAATCTTAGTCCTCTTTAAAAAAAAACTACACACATACAACATGCCAATTTTACAATACTGGGGAAAAAAGGAGTTTGGTTCTCTGACACAAAATGAACTTTTTGAGTAAATTGTTGGCTGTAATTTGGAATTTATAGTTTACAAATTAAGAAATGTGGGATAATCACTTTGAGATGACTAAATCTCTGATTCCCTCATTTTTAAAATGGACTATTTTTAGTTTGCAAGCAGCTACAACAGATCGGGTTTCTAACATTGAGCGCTGGAGCTTTCCAATTTGATTAGGTCATAGTAAAGTGAGGACATGTTCTAAGAATGTTAGAGTGCAGATTTCATTTACAAAGAACTAAACTCTTGTTTTTCTAATGGATTTTTTTTTTAAGAGACCACTAAGATTCTTTTCATAGTTCTCTCATCTCTCTCTTCCTAAAACTGAGCCCTCAGTC